TTGCTGCGCCAAGAAATAAGAGAAATCACCCAAGAAAAACAGAACCCGGTAGTAGAGCGCCGGTCAGTAGGATCCCCAGCCCAATCAGCATCAGAAAAAGCACGAAGCTGGAGAGAGGAGCGGGCGGAATAATGAAGTCCATGAAACAAGGTACCTTTGAGATAACGAAGGATACAAACTAATGCAGCATAATGAGGGGTACGAGGAGCGGACATAAACTGGCTGACAATATGAACGGCATAGGCAATATCAGGACGAGTAATAGTGAGATAGACAAGGCTGCCAACCAGCTGACGATATAGGGTAGCATCAGAGAGAAGAGTGCCATCAAGAGGTGTAAGACGACTCTGAGGCTCCAGGGGAGTGGAGGCAGTCTTGCAATCCGTAAGACCAGCGCGGGTGAGAAGATCAGAGGTATACTTAGCCTGAGAGAGAAAGACCCCGTGGAATCATGGAAGATTTCAAGACCCAAGAATAGCTGAGAGACCAAGGTCTTTCATCTCGAAATGATGGCTAAGAAACTGTTTAAGGCATACAATACCATCAAGATCGTCACCGGTGATAATCATATCATCCACATAAAGGAGAAGCAAGGTGGTCCCTTGAGCAGTTTTCCGGATAAAAAGAGCAGTATCATAAGAATTGGAGGTGAAACCACAGTCATGAATAGTAGAGCTGAACTTGGCAAACAAGCGCGCGGAGCTTGTTTGAGACCATATAGAGCACGCTGAAGTTTGCAGACTTTATGAGGTGGATAAGTAGACCCAGGGGAGGTTGCATGTAGACTTCCTCAAGAAGAACAACATTAAGGAAAGCATTTTTCACGTCCATTTGATAAAGATCCCAGTGTCGGGTGGTAGCAACCGCAATCAGGCTGCGAACAGAGGTGAGACGAGCAACAGGAGCAAATGTCTCCTCATAGTCAATACCATATTCTTGGTTGAAGCCTTTTGCAACAAGGCGGCTTTGTAGCGCTCAATAGTACCATCAGAACAAGTTTTGATTTTGTAGACCCATTTGCAACCAATGGCAGTCTTGCCAGGAGGAAGATCAACAATGTCCCAAGTGTGAGTTTTGTCTAAAGCCTGCAATTCATCAGTCATAGCTTGCTGCAAAGAGGATTAGAGCGACCCTCACGATAGGAGGTCGGTTCATAAGTAGAAAAAGCAGTAGAACCAACAATAAAGTCACGAAGACGAGTGGAAGGTTGTATTACCCGGTGTGGTCGAGTAGAGGCAGGAGGAGCCAGAGGGAGAGACTCACCAGGAGGGGAGGATCCCGAGGGAGCAAGAGCAGGACCATCAGAGGGAGCAGGTGCATGGGACAGACCAGAAGGCAAGGCAGTCTCGAGAGGTGGTGGAGTAAGCTCATAGAGGACTCGAGAGAGGCCGCAAGGGCGGTGAAGTAAGCTCATCTGAGAACAGATCCGTGGAAGGGTCAGTAAAAAACAGAGAGGGTGAGGGAACGGACAAACGGAGAGAGAGAGAGAGAGGAAAACATTTTGTGTTTCCCAAAAGATGACATGACGAGAGATACGGAGTAGCTGGGAGAGAGGATCCCAACAACGATACCCCTTGTGTTCAATACCATACCCTAAGAAGCAACAAAGGCGAGAATGTGGTTCAAGTTTGGTACGTTCATGAGGTTGAAGAAGAACAACAGGCAGATCCAAAAACCCTAAGGTTGGTGTAAGGGGGACGGGTGCCATGCAGACGTTCATAAGGAGTGTGATTTATGAATGACAAGTGTAGGGATACAATTGATAGTGTAAGCAGCAGTGAGAGCTGCCTCTCCCCAAAATGTTCCGGACAAGAGGAAGACAAAGGAGAGCTCGAGTAGTGTCAATAATATGTCGATGTTTCCGTTCAGCACGTCCATTTTGTTGAGACGTACCGGGACAGGACGATGAGGTTGAGTACCATGACTCTGAAGAAAGAAAGAAAGGTCAAAATCTTTATATTCCATGGCATTGTCGGAGCGAAAAAGCTTAATAGTTTTAGAAAATTGTGTTTTAACCATTGTAGCAAAATTGTAATAAAAGTTGTTTTGAGCTCAAAGCGATTTTTCATAAGAAACAACCAGGTAAAACGGGAAAATCATCTATAAAAAAACAAATAGCTGTGCACCTCCCATAGTAGGAGTCGGAAGGTCCCCAAATTATCAGAATGAATGAGATCAAATGGTGCAAGAGAAACAGAGTCCTTTTATTAAACGACAAAGCAGGTTTTTAGGCAAGTTGACAGACACACTCCTAAACGATCATAATGGGAGACATGGAGTAATGAGCAGTGGTATGCTTAGGATTGGTAGATGGAAGATGTAGACGTTCGTAACGTTCAGAGTCTGTCGTTGCCTATCGGGCGGTGTTAGCCATGCCTCACTCTGCTACTGGTAACGTTGAGTCAGACCAGATGTCGGAGTAAGTAGACAGGATAAGAGATTTAAGTAGAGGTTGAAACGAACCAATTGACTTGATACCAGAAGAGACCCATCAGCAGTATGATGAAGGACAGAGGAGTAGAAGAAGAGAGGAGTAAAAATGTAGGGTAAAGGTCATGTGATACAACAAGCGGAGTCAAAGTACCAAGAAGTGTTACCTGCGGGTGACAGATAAAGCAGTAGATGGAGTGAGTACCGAATTTCTGCTCAAAAATGTTGAAAAATGGCTGCGACGTCAGTTTGAGAGAGACTGGAATGGAAGGGTCTATAGGGACAGAGAAGGTAAATCTCTGAGGCAGCAGCAGCAGTTCGTTGAGCAGGCATTGGTTTAAACGGAGTCCAGAACGGTGAGGAGTGGCTGCGAGAAAAATTTTCCCGGTGGAGGGACCATTGCGAGAGGCACGGGCTGGATTGCGGAAGCAATCTTTGCGAGATGACCAGGGCCAGTCTTTTTGCAAAACCGACAAAGACGAACTGACAATTAACCAGAAGATGAGTCGACGGAAGATGGCGGTCTGTGACAGTAATTGCAGGATTGGACCCTTCTGTGGTGATGGTGGGAAGGGAGAACTTCGAATCTAGGGAGTGGCAAGAACAGAGTCCACAGGATGTGGGATGGAGAGACCGCAAATCTGGTTTTCCTCAGAACAAGAGTTCAGAAATTGCTTGCTCAAGAGTGGGTAATGGAGTGCGATGAAGGAGAGATTGCACGAGACTGGCTCAAATCGGGGATGGAGTGAGAGCCATGAGAAATGAAACTAAGCGCTGGGTCACGGTAGGCGATTAACAAGTGCATCCTTAGTAAATCCCCGGATTCAGAAAGAGCAGCTGATCCAAGCATAATCTTTGGATAGAATCATTAACTGGTTTGAGTGTTTTCTTGACGCCATACTGAAGATGCTCAGAAGCTGATATGGGATGAGCAGGCCAGTAGTCTGATGCGTCTTGTTAAAATTCCCAGAAATTTTGCTGGAGGAGAGGAAGCAAGTCGAAGTTGGACCGACCAAACTGGAAGGCTGATAGATGTAATAGAGGTATTGCGAACACAAGTGCATGATCTGATGTTTTTTAACATCTTCAAATCTTTCCAGTCGATCTGACATTATTTGGCACAGCGAATCCGTTGGTGGGAATCTGTGGTTCCTTGAACGGGTTTGCACACATCCCAGTTATGATGCGCGCCAAGTTCTTCCTTTGAGGCCAGACATAGTTGTGCCATAAGAATATATTAGTTCCCGTCAAGAATAACAGAAATATGTTGGGGTAGGAGTCAACGGATCCATGAGCGAAAAATAGCACAATGAGGGGAGAATCGGGAAAAAAAACCCGAGAGTACCATCGAATCAGATGGTCCAAAAAGTTAGTCAAAAAAGGAGTGAACGGACTCAATATGACACAAAGGCTGAAATGGAAGATAGTCAACGCTGCTGGTCAACGGAGGGCAACGCACTTAGCGGGTGGCGCGGCGCAGTTAGCAGGCGAGACACACGGCGCCGGGAGCAGTCAGGGCTGACGGTTCAGCTACGTCAGAAACAAAAACGCGGCTCACGTTAGAGATGAAGGCCGCGGCGCAACAATAGCACAGCACAGGTGTAGGAAGCGCGTAGAGCGCGCTGAACGATTCAAGCGCGTGGCCGAATGTTCTGGTGGCGGTGGAGGCGCTGTGAGCCGTCAGATGAGGATCTACTGCCCTCTTTTGTGACAATCAAAGTGCTCTTCAAATTGCTCACAATGATGTTTTTCATGATCGCACCAAGCACATTGAGATTGACTGTCATTTTATTCGTCAACACGTCACTCATGGTACTGTCCATCTCCATCCAATCTCCTCTGCTGATCAACCTGCTGATATCTTTACCAAAGCCCATTCTCCTGGCCGCTTCCTTGACCTTATCTCCAAACTCCAGTTGGTTGATGTTTGTCCTCCTTGAGTTTGAGGGGGCTGTTAATATATGAATATAATTGTATATGAATATAATATAATACTATATCTGTTGTTAATATATTATAGTATAGACACCAACTATAGCATGATATAATAGGATTCCCTTTGTCACCCGCTTTCGGTGCGCCATCATCTTTCGGCCCCTTTTTCTATTTATATTCAATTGTATCATCATAATGTTTCTGTAACAAGCTCCTATATAATGGAGCCTCAATCTTGATTCAATATACAGAGTTTACATTACAATTCTCTTTCAATATTACTCTCTCAATTTGTCTTTCATAATTTGTCTTTCATATTATATTTCATTTTCATTATTAAAATTGTAATTCATAGGAGTATAGCGTAGCAAGTTAAAGAAACTTGTTATATAAGAAAATTAAATAATTTTGTTTTGGTAAGACCTGTAAAAAGGCATATCAGTTACGTACACACAGACTCGCATTTAAGGCCGATACTGAATTCGCAGAGATGTCTTTGGCTTTTTCTAACTTCTTCAATTTATTGCTTTAATTAAGCTCTCAACCAACCTCTCTGTATCTGTTTCTCTGTTAAACCAATAAGATTCACAAAAGCTTTGTAACTGGCTGATCACTCTAATGGGTAAACCAATAAGATTCACAAAAGCTTTGTAACTGGCTGATCACTCTAATGGGATCCAATTTGTTAGTAATTTGATATCATATATATCAATCAGCAACACAATTCGGTAGTTTTCTTGCTTGGAGGTTGAATTAATGGCGGTTTACACTGTCAAAGTAGAAGAATCGAAGCCGGGGAGCGATGAAAAGGCGTCGGCAGGGGCTGTGTATAGGTCCATTTATGCTAAAAATGGTCTCACGGAGCTGCCGGCCGGAATGCACTCCCCTTGGGACTTCTTCAGGTAGATACATATTTATATATATATATAAACAAGATTCGAACATTATATTTTAAATTTGTTAAATAAGACTCTTATTATTTGATCACCACTGGATGCTTTATTTTATATTTATTTATTTAAATTGCGTGTGCCACCTATCAATATAGGCATATCTATACTATTATGGCTTCGTTTGGGAAGCGATGGTTTGAGCTTTTTCGGCTATTTTAGGCACAAAAAATAAAATAGACTATTTTAGTCATAACAAACAAAACATCACATCCAATCCATAATCATTACATTCTTCTCTAAAAAAAACTAAAAAAGTCAAAAAATCAAAAAGTCCTTCCCAAACCAAGTTTTTAAGCCCAGGCTAAAATAACCAAAAAAGCCAAAAAGCCAACCCACTTCCCAAACAGAGGCTATGTATGTGAGTATATGATTTGGTTGTCTAATAGTGTGGTGTGACACATTTTCTTATCCTATAATAAAAGGGTAAATTACAAATACACCTCCTGAGTTTTGATTAAAATACGAATTGCCTCATGTGGTTTTAGAAATTACACTTCACCTCTTGAGGTTTTTAATTTCATAACAAATCGCTCTTTTTATTAATAAATCATCAAGCCTTAGAAATATATTTTAATTAATAATTTAGATAATTTTATTATTGTATAGGAGAACAATTATGAATTTCATTTTTTTTAGTTAATTCTGTTAAATAAAAAATATTAAGGTATTTATAATTTTCCAAACCATAGAGGTAATCTGTACTTTAAGCAAATCTTAGGGAGTATATTTATAATTTACCCAAAAATAAATATATATTATTTAAAGACGTGAGTAAGATTTGAACCCAATACCTTTAGGTCATGTTTGATTCACAAGATTAATTGTGAAATATTAATAATCCTATTAAATTAGTATGGTATTCACAATCCAATTGGATTAATATTCATTTGATTAATAATCTCACCCCTACCCCATTACTAATAATCCTACAAATTTGTTGGATTAATTATTCATTGGATTAATAATTCTAAACCAAAATGTTAAAACAAATATAGGATAATTGGGCTCACGGATTAATAATCCTAATCTCATGCTCTAATCCACCAAATCAAACATGCCCTTAGGCTCCGTTTGGGGACTTACTTTTTTAGCCAAAAAGTCAAAAAGTTACCTTTTTAACCAAAAAGCCAACAACTCATACCAAAAAGTCAAAAATTCTCTTTTCTCTCTATTTTTTGCACATCTTTTCGTAATTAACCAAAAAGTCATCCCAAACATATAAGTTTTTTTTACCTACATTTTTAGCCAAATAGCCAAAAAGTTACTAAATTAATCTGTTCCCAAACGAGGCCTTAGTTTCATTAAAAATACTCTTACCATTTAGACAATATTCATATTATATATTAATTTTTTTATTATTTATTTTTATACTTATTTATCTCAATTACATATATATATATATATATATATGTATATATACATATAGAGTTTGAGTATAATTATGATGAAACTGATGGAAAGTGAATATATATATATATATATGCAGTAATCCAGAAATTGAGTATAATACAAATAAAAGGGATAGAAAATGCGATAAAAGAAAATTTATAATCTTTTTTTTGTTTTTTAAGTCTTGTTTGGCATAAACTAAAAAAGTTAAAAAGTTAAAAAATCACTATCTTATTTAAGTCATATCATCTTATTTAAATCACGTCATTTTTCTACCACATCACTTCAAACCCAACCCATACCCAACTCATATTTCATAAAAAGTCAAAAAGTACACTTATTTAGATCATCTCAAACAACCCTTAGTTTGAAAATAATGAGAGAGAAAAAAAATCACTTTCATTAGTATAGAAATTCGACTTTTACTAGCTTGCAAAAGATAGAGTTTTTTTTTTTTTTTCTGACTATTTTAACTTTTCCTGACGTAGCGGAATAAATCACACGAGACTAAATATCGTTCTAGTAGACGAGAATTCTTGAATCCACAAGAACACACTTGAATCCACAAGGAGATAGCAGAAAAACTCTTTAAAAATATTATTGAATGAATCAATTACATATACTTGTAGGCTTATTTATAATAAACTAAACCTAATACTTGTAGGAAAAGTGAATAAACCAAACCTAATACTTTTAGGAAAAGTGATTCCAAAATAAATTAGGAAACTTAAATCAACACAAATTAAGAAACCTAAGAGAACTAGGAAACCTAAGAGACTAAAATCCTAAACTATTTAACATCCTAGTCAAAATCTAATTCTAAAATAATAAAATTAAGAAGTCTAATAATTCTAAAATATTTATACTAAATTACAAGAATCCTAATAATACATCAAAAATATTAAAACTAAAAATATAAAAATTCTTAAAATCTTGTCATACATCAGACTCTTCTTCTTTGAAATAACTCGCCCTCGAGTTCATATTAGAGATCTGCCACCGTCCATGCCAAATAAAAAGATACTTGGAATATTTCAGTTGTTTGTCTCTCATGGGCGGAAGTTCATCTAACAACTCGTCAGCAGTAAATTCTTGGAATTCCTCCAATAATGGTTGAATTTTCTGAGGAATTGGTGTGACTGTGTTCTCCTTGGCCACAGGTACCATTGTTTTCACAACCATAGCATATAACTCTTGTGAAGTTTTCGCATCTGCCACAAACTCGGCCTCTGAATTGGTTATAGTGAGGAAAGATTTCGCTTTGACTTTCGGAGGCACTATGTGTTGCTTTAAGGGACTCATAGCAATTTTATGAGACCCCTAATTAAACACATAACTGTTGTCTCGCCCTCTAAATGTAATATCCACATCAAATTGCCAAGGTCTTCCAAGTAATACATGACTGGCATCCATATCAACTACATCACATAATACATCGGATTTATAATGTTTACCAATAGAAATAGGTACCTTACATACTTCGGTTATCTTGACAGCAGGTTCTTTTTTGATCCAGCCAATACTGTAGGGAGAGGGGTGTGGTTCAGGAGACAACTTCAGGTGCGTTACCAATCGTTTAGCCACAAAATTTTCGCAACTTCCACTATCCACAATAAGGTCACACACCTTTTGATTTATGGTACAACAAAAGCGAAAAATATTGTGACGTTGACTGAGGTCCTCAGTTTTTGGTGTAAGTAGAACCCTTTGAACTACACAGTTGACTCGTTCTCCTTCTTCTCTGGCGAGTTCAACACCTTCATACTGATCACCCTCATATTCTGCATCTCCATCATCCCCAATTTCATTTTCTTCTTCAACTAAATTAGCAGTCCTTCTTTTTGAGCACACATTAGAGCGATGGCCAGGCGTACCACATCTATAACACTTATCCGTTGTTGGTTTGGCATAAGGATTTGTGTTTCGAGGTGCCTCTCTGCTACTTGATCCAGTCATCTGGTTTCCTCCTCCTCCACCAGCGGTACTCCTCTGCTGATTTACTGGAATTGTTGGTTGGGTAGCCCATTTTTCTTTTTCCCTAGTAGGAAACGATGAATCAAGAAGGTTCCGACAATATCCAGAATAGGTTGTCTTGCGCTCCATTAGCTCGGCTTTGAGAGCCATATTATGTGCTTCATCCACAGTCCACACTACTGATAGCCCCATATTCTCTCGAATGATTAATTTTAACCCATTGAGATACCGGGCTACACGCTGTCCTTCGGTCTCATTTAGATTATTGCGACATGAAAGTCGACAAAATTCATTTGTATAATCAAATACAGATCGGCTTCCTTGGTTGCAATTTTGGTACAACTGAAACAAGTATTGATCATAATCTTGTGGTAAAAATCTGTCTTGGAGGAGTTGTTTCATTTGACGCCAAGTCCGTACAGATTCTTTTCCTTGCCGATGCCTGTTTTTCTGCAATTGATCCCACCATACCGCAACACCTCCTTTTAGTTTGTACGCCACCAATTTCACCATCTTTGATTCTAGAACATCCATTATCCCAAAAAATCGCTCCACCTCTGGAAGCCAGTCAAGAAAATCCTCAATATGTAGATTTCCATTGAACTGGGGAAGATCTATCTTCATTCGGTACTCATCGAACCCTTGTTGTTGTTATTGCCTTCGGGGTTGATAGTTGGCTGAAAGTGGTTCAAACTCTGGTTCAAACTTCTCCTCACTATCAGATGGACAACAAAGGGGACGTCTAGGAGCATTCTGAACAAGTTGACCTCGGGCAAATCCTTATGTGCACACTCTGTTCTGGTTAACAGGTTGGCCTTGGGCAACTCCCTCAGCACGGACCCTATCAACCACTGGTGGCCTGTTGTTGGCATTGAGATTCAAGCCAATAAGCAGATCACGAATTTCGTTCAACTGCTCTTGCTGTTTCTCATATGCTACCCACAGGGCCTCGACCCCACGATCACCGCCAGTAGGGTTTGCATGATCTACTCTGTCTTGTGCCATTGAGCCAGGTGAATCCTTACTCTGATACCACTTGACGCGGCGGAATAAATCACACGAGACTAAATATCATTCTAGTAGACGAGAATTCTTGAATCCACAAGAACACCCTTGAATCCACAAGGAGATAGAAGAAAAGCTCTTTAAAAATATTATTGAATGAATCAATTACATATGCTTGTAAACTTATTTATAATAAATTAAGCCTAATACTTGTAGGAAAAGTGAATAAACTAAACCTAATACTTGTAGGAAAAGTGATTTCAAAATAAATTAGGAAACTTAAATCAACACAAATTAAGAAACCTAAGAGAACTAGGAAATCTAAGAGACTAAAATCCTAAACTATTTAAAATCCTAGTCAAAATCTAATTCTAAAATAATAAAATTAAGAAGCCTAATAATTCTAAAATATTTATACTAAATTACAAGAATCCTAATAATACATCAAAAATATTAAAACTAAAAATATAAAAATTCTTAAAATCTTGTCCTACATCATTTCCTCAAAATTTTTATGTTAAAGTTTCATGGATCATGCATGGTGGTTTGCTAAAGTCGACCTAATTGCACGATTAATATTTCATTATTCATCATATTAATACTGAAATGAACACATATCTATATATATATATATCTGGGATAATCAGTTTTATTAAAAATTGGCTCTTGACCTTTCAGATGAATTTATAATTTTTTAAAATTTTTTTCAGAAGCTAAAAATAAGTTCTTAAAAAAAAATCAAGAAGGGCCCATGATTGTTGCTCAAAACCAAAACAGAGAGTGGTCCATCATATGAGAAACTGAAGAAGGCCAACAGTTGTAAGAAAGGAATCCCTGGCCCAAAACAAAGGAACGGCCTGGCCCAAAAAAAGGAGAGTGTGGTGTAAATAGGCCTACAGCTAAGAAATGAGTATTAATTTATGAATTTATATTTAATTAAATTTTAATTAAGATTTTTTAGGCATTTAAGTCTTATTAAATCTTTAAAAGTTAAAATTTTCCTTCAAATAATGATTGTTCATAATTTATAATTATCTATAAAAGAATATGATGATTTGACATTTATTTTAATTTTTAAAATCTTAAAATATAAAATTTTAAATTGAAAAAACTAAAAAACAATTATGTGCAAAAAAAATTGAAAATATTGAATTATTTTGTGTGTAAAATTGAAAATTTTGTGTCTATAAAAGAGTATGATGATGTAACATTGATGTGCAAAACTGAAAAAAAAAATTAAAAATGAAAAAATTGATAATGTTTTTAATTTTAAAATTGAAAAAAATGATTAATATTCTCGATTTTATTGAATAATTGAATCAAACTAATAAGTAGAAAGACAATAACAATTAATCCCATACTTTGTTTTTTTTCATCAATTAGTGAAATAATTATCTGAAGCATTACATTTAATCTCATAGTTTATTTTTTTCATCAATTAGTGAAATAATTATCTGAAATATTAATATGTAAAATTTATAATATTCTTAGTTAAAAAAATCTTAAATAAAATATGAATTACCATAACATTTATAAATAAGATTTTTAAGTAATTAAATCTCGTCTGAGAACAAGCTATTTTAATACAAAAATACTAGAGACATTTGATCAAACTTTTGAGATCTCTAGCCTTACTCATTTTAATAACTTTTTGATTTTTTACAAAAAAAAATATGAAAAAAAAATAAAGAAAGCAATCTATCAACTTATAATAATTTTTTGACTAAAAAACATAATACCAAACGAGCCCCGGTCTTAAAAAAAAACTCGTCGCTCTAACCAACTGAGCTAATAGGCCAATTTGTTAATGTTTTGTCCTACAAATAATATATATTTATTTAATACAATCCAACCCCCGTTCCATCCTCGATTCTCTTTGTTTTTTGCTGCAGTGATTCTGTAAAGAGGAACCCAAAATTCCATCCTCGATTCTCTTTGTTTTTTGCTGCAGTGATTCTGTAAAGAGGAACCCAAAAAACCCAATGCTGGGACGCCGCCAAATCGTTGATTCTATGGTACCCCTTCCCTTCTATATATATACAAATACAAATAAGATGATGATGATGAGGGAAGTAACACTGAATTTGCAAAGTAAAAAATGTAATGACAGGGGGGTCCCTATGTATGGATCACATATGACGAGGCCTATGATGTTGCCCTTCGAGTCGGCTCCGCCCTCCGCCGCCGCCATCTCAATCCTGTAAGTTGACACATTTTTGGACTAATTTTGACTCACAATCATTCAGCTTGTACAACTAATTAAAAAAATTATTGATGAACAAAATTAAATTATTCCAACAACAATCGTAATATTATTAGATTATTTTTATCTATACGAGGTACATATTTTTAAAATTGTACCATCTATATGTTATAATATATATGTGACTGTTTATATTTGGTCAACTTAATTTTGTGCATCCATCATCAATTTGTCATATGAGATGAGTACACATTAATTCTATAATATGCTAACTTTACCGTGAAGTTGAGATCTATAACTTTAGCAAATCCGAACTCAAAACTTTATATAAAGTTATTGGGCTATGTGGTTTCAGGGTGACCGGTGTGGCATATATGGATCGAATTGCCCAGAATGGATCATCTCAATGCAGGTAGATATACTTTTTTTCACTGTTTTTATTCATTTACAAAGAAACTGATTGCTTTGTAGTTGTACAGTCATATATACCTATTTCAATATTTTTTTCCATATCATATTAGTTTGTTATTTGCTTCATGATTAACAATTTAAAATAGTTACTTCTTTGTATTATTTGTCACACATGATTTCCATACAGGCATGTACTAGCCATGGCATAACCTATGTCCCGCTGTACGACACGCTTGGTATGTTTTTCCTCCTTTTTCCCAATGTTGAGCATGTATGAGTTCATTTGAATTTTAATATTAACTGATTAAGACTCGGTTCTGTTATTGTCATAGGTGCTAACGCCGTGGAGTTCATCATCGATCATGCTGAAGTTTCGATAGCTTTTGTTCAAGAGAACAAGATACCAGCTGTATGGTTCCATTTAAATTATCTGTTTATCAAGAATTATGATTTTTGTGTATATATGTATGTGTAAATAATTCTACTTCACCACGAATGCATCATTCTATCAGTAGTGCTATTTTGCCTTTTAGCTATTCTTTAATTCCCGATTAGCAAGGTAAGTGTATTAGTATGTTTACTCTTCGTGCAGATGCTAACATGCCTCCCAAGGTGTACTTCACATCTGAAAAGTAAGTCACAAGGCTGATTTTGTCAGAAATGACTAATAATTCAACGGGCATTCTAGAAATGAAGTAACTAAAAACATGAATCTTCCTTTGAAAAGCTATTGTCAGCTTTGGAGAGATTTCCAGTATGCAAAAGAAGGAAACTGAAGACCTAGGCATTGCTTGCTTCTCTTGGAAAGAATTCACTTTACTGGTAATACCTTCTCATTCATCAATCCCTTATTTTATGGCTCAAGTAGTACTTCTTTCAATAATTCTAGAGACAGAGAACCGAACGCAGAATAACTCTACACCTTTTGGTATAGTTGCTGAATTTGATTGTTGTTGCCACCCACCTTGTTAATGCATCTGTTTTTTTAGGGAAGTTTGGATCATGAACTTCCTTCAAAACAGAGAACTGACATCTGCACAATCATGTATACAAGCGGAACAACAGCAGAACCTAAAGGTGTTATTTTAACTAATGGGGCTATCATGGCAGAAGTTTTGTCTACCGATCAACTGCTATTAGAAACAGACAAAGTGGTAAGCATTCAATTAAATATCTTTTATGTTTCAAAAGCAATGATTCCGGACCTCATTTTGAAGTTCCAACTCTCTCTTACAGGGTACCGAAGAGGATACATACTTCTCATTCCTTCCTCTGGCCCATATATATGACCAGATAATCGAAACCTATTGCATCTACAAGGGTTCTTCAATAGGATTTTGGCGAGGCGTAAGATTAAGATTCATTTCTTGTCATTTTTTTTTATTTTTTAAGTTCAATTTGGCCGCTTGAAGGTACAATCTTGAATCATATCCAACTCTTTTCATACTTCTTACTGACAGGATATCAGATATTTGATTGAGGACATTGTTGAACTAAAACCAACTATATTTTGTGGAGTTCCTAGAGTTTTTGACCGTATATACACTGGTATAAAGCCGTCTCTTCATATGATAATAATATACTTTGTTGGTTTTTGTTTTAGTAACTAATGCCCATAATTTGTGCATGAAGGTATAATGGAAAAAATTTCACTGGGAGGTGCATTGAGGAAGGCATTGTTCCAGTATGCATATAGCTAGTACGTGCTACTGTAATACTTTCTTGATAGCCTTCGCCAATTCATGCTTTGTTTTATTGTATCTGATACGGGAAAGCTATTTACAGCAAATTGCGGAATCTAGAGAAGGGAATTCAACAAGACAAAGCCGCTCCTCTTCTGGACAGGCTCGTCTTTGATAAGGTCAGTGATATTTGTATTCTTTGTCATTGGTATTACAAATCTTCTGTATGCATTATAGTGATGTTTAAATTCTGGTAGATCAAACAAGGATTTGGGGGGCGAGTTCGTATAATGTTATCTGGAGCTGCACCTTTGCCAAGCCATGTGGAGGAGTTTCTGAGGGTGACTTGCTGCTGTGTCTTATCACAAGGATACGGTATGGAAATTTTTTTGATGATCACTTTATGAAATCATTAGAAATCTATTTATTGACCTTTATGTGAGTTAATCAATTTATTTATGAATTTAGTAATTCAAGCAATGACATTAGTCAAGTGAACTTTCAAAAGATAGTGCCATAGAGGCAACACTTACTGTTTGGGAAGAATTTTAGAACGCCATTTTGGGGATTGAAAATGAAGTATAAAGTTACTGCGACGTGCTAATGCGCCATATTTTACCTTTCGTGTTGTTTCCCTTATTTGAAATTCAAATTTGAAAATGCCATAAAGTTTCTGAATCAAAAACCGTTCACCAATGTTATGAATCGGTAAATATTGCTTGACTACTCCAAAATCTTGATAAATTTCAGGTCTTACTGAAAGCTGTGGTGGATGTTTTACATCCGTAGCCAATGTGTTCTCTATGATGGGAACTGTTGGAGTCCCCATGACAACCATCGAGGCAAGGCTCGAGTCAGTGCCAGAACTGGGATACAATGCACTTGCTACTGTGCCACGTGGAGAGATCTGCCTTAGGGGAAAAACCCTGTTCTCTGGCTACCACAAGCGACAAGATCTAATTGAAGATGTCCTTGTGGATGGGTGGTTCCATACTGGTAACAATTCCTTTATAATTTCAGCCAAGAAGCTTGCCTTACTTTCAGCTGCGGAGCCAGAAATTCAAGACAGACAGAGCACATATTACTCATATTATTGAAAAAAAAATATACAATAAACAAGAACGGGATACTATTAAAATTATACATTTTTTTGAGAGTCTATTGTTGAGATTCAATATTACAATTATCATGAGAATTGCATCAACAACACAACGAAATTTATAATCAACAAATTCAAACACTATCAACTCAACAAAAAATCCCACAATGAAAACAATAAACTAAACAAATCCCATGATAATAATAAAATGTTCAATTAATTCAATTCTTACTATTAACTTTCCAATTTAGAGTATAAAAGAATGGACAAAAAAAAAACACAAAAGAGCACTTTTAAAAATTTTAAAATACAAAAGAATTTTACGTGATTTAAGGAGGGACACTATTATAATTTTATAAAGGACAAATTCAATATAAACTTCATATATAAGGGAAATAATGTAAATATGAAAACCCAGGGGAGGCATATGACTCCACTGATGCTATATTGGCTTCGCTTCTGCTTGTTTTGATACGACGTATAAGCTAGCTTATTTTTGTCTTTAATAAACTTTTTTCAATTTGGAGTTCAGATTTTTTACTTTTTATGTCCGTTTAGATATAAAAATAATAAAATAAAATAAACCTCAAAATGTTAAACTTATTTGTTTTAAAGAAGAAATTACAGATACCTAAAATGATGTGTTTGCAGGTGACATTGGAGAATGGCAGCCAAATGGAGCAATGAAAATCATTGACAGGAAAAAAAACATTTTCAAGCTGTCTCAAGGAGAATATATTGCTGTGGAAAACATCGAAAACACTTACTCCCGATGCCCTCTTGTGACATCTGTATGTTGAATTGTTGATTGATCAACCATAGGTCCATAGCATATATAACAGTTATAAAAATGTTACAGGCCACAAGATATTTAAATAGAAACTAATATGTATGCTAACCCATTTGTGTAGTTTTGCTTCTTGAAAATTGAATTTTTGCTGACTAGATTTTCACTGGTGCACAGATTTGGGTCTACGGGAACAGCTTTGAATCGTTCCTTGTCGCCGTGGTGGTTCCTGATAGAAAGATGCTTGAGGAATGGGTGGCGAACAATAATGAAAGCGGAGATTTCAAACTGTTGTGTGAAAACTTGAAGGCAAGGAAGTATATTCTAGATGAGCTCAATAGCACCGGTCAGAAGCACAAAGTATGAAGTTAATCAATCCTGCATTTCTCTGTTTTTAATTCTAAGTTTAGTTTAGGTTTTTTTTTTTTTTTTTTTTTTTTTTTTTTTTTTTTTTTTTCTTTCCTGGTCTAACATAAAAGATATTTGCACAGCTTAGAGGTTTCGAAGTGTTGAAAGCAGTTCATTTGGAGCCAAACCCTTTTGACATTGATAGGGATTTGATAACGCCGACATTTAAACTGAAGAGGCCACAGTTACTGAAATACTACAAGGTATTTTTATGCTCTCTATTTATATTTGAATTCACTTCCCATCTTTCTTGAGACAATTGTTTGTTTTGGCATAAAAAGGTTCTCTGTAAAACGTTTTCTGCATTTTCTGTCATTTGGTATGATGAAAAATGAAAGTTGATAGAAACCGGTTTCTGTTGAGTATGGAAAATTAGTTCATTTGGGCGAAAAACGTTTTCACTTTTAAAAGGTAAAAAACGTTTTCCCAATTGTCCCGTCCCTTGTTGCACTATGAAAGTAGAACCAATTCCATGCTCCTAATTTCTCTTTTGCCCATGTCATCTACAGGACTGCATTGATCAACTCTACTATGAAGCAAAGGGAAAAAAGCAATGAAAGCAGTATCAGAATATGAAATTTCTGAACAAGAAAAGGTTTGGATGCTTGTTCTTGTTCATGGTTGTACATAATATGAATAAATCGTCGAAGTTTTCCAGATTAATCTGATGTTTCACAATCATATATGAATATGAATTCATAATTCACATTATATCTCTTGCATTTAACATCAATAGTTTTGGGGGGGAAGGTGAAATAAAGAATGAATAGGACAATTTTGATCGTGTTACAAGTATCCCGTTTTCATTTTAAGAAAACAAGGAAGATAGTTTTGATGTGGAAATGAGCTCCATTAACAGCTCATCTGTTTGCCACCAAACATTTTTTTTTTCTTCAAAATTTTTGAAAGCAAAAAGCACAAAATCAAGAAACAAAACAAGAACCAAGTTAGGGCCTCAACCTGAAGTAAACATGAGGTCAACAAATAGAATACATTATTACAATAAACATTTAGGTCCATAGACAGTGCTTTTGTCCACAAATAGAATGTGCAAGCATTGGCAACAAATTGGGTACTTTCAAAAGTAAATCACACCAACATATTTTTGTTCAGAAATGCAAACCAGAAAAACAGGCACAAGCCCTACACAGAGAGAGAGAGAGAGAGAGAGAGAGTAGTGACTATAGCAAGTCGTCAAACAGAGCCCAGATAGGAAACACCAACAGGATGATTATGCAGACAGAGTTGGAAAGGCCGTGGCCCTTGGTGAAGGAGTCTCTGAACCCACCAGATGCTCGGACGTGTTCTTGAAGCAAGTAACACGCGATGGCAAGGCATATTGCAATGCCAATCCAGTTGTTCCTTATCGTATCAGCAATCAACCCGGGAGCAACCACAACAAGAAGAATCAATGCCCCCGGCATTTCTAGCCAATCTGCATCATCATAACCACAAGATCACATATATATCACTCAATTTTCTTCGATAGCATAAAAACATATACAATCCATCAAATGCCATGACTTCCATTTTCTAAAATGTTTTACTGAGAAATTTCACTATATATCTTTCAATTGCTTCTTCTCATAGTGAAATTTAATAGTGACAGTCACCTGGAAATTGTTTAGGGAAGAAGAGGCGCAATATGACAGTAATGAACGCGACCCATTTTCCAATATCTCCCCTGCATTATCGGACGCTAAAATTAGAAAGAAAAAAAGAAGAAGCATGAAGTCAGAGAAAATGAGCGCACGAAACAGAACTGTTTATAGTCAGTTACCTGAGCAAGCCAAACAGCAATGAAGGTAGACTCATGAAAATGTAAGGAACTAAAAGCGTTGTGAGAATGTTGGTCTTCCAATTTGTCCGATCCAAGACCAACAAACAACTACAATAGTCACAAGAAATTTGTATGAGTAATCACAGCTTAAGTTTTTGAGACTATTAATAATCTAAAAAATATAGCATGAGGTATAATCAGCTTGTTCGATTTTGGTTTTCAGAAAATTGAAACCAAACCCACTAAATACAATTCGCAAAAAAAGTTTTGTTTCTTTATCTACAATTACTAGTAGTAGAACTAGAATGAAGAAAATTATGAGGAAATAGTCTCCAAAACTTATTAAGCCCAAACTTTAGGCTATTGTTCATCTATATGTAATGCATTGAGATAGAACCCCGAATTAATCATATACATATATATCAAGTTTTAGAGTGGGAAATTATCTCTATTTAGAGTTTGGTTTCAGAATCTGTTTTTTTTCTTAAAAAACTAAATATTAATTTGATGGGAAAAAAAATAAAAATACTTATCAATTTTATATTTTTAGAGGGTATAAATAATTTTTAAAAATTTCAAAATATTTTTTGATGTTAAATTACCCATTCACAAATTAATTCTACAACGACTAGCTTGAAAATTGATTAGTGTTGTACAATCAAAAAAAAAAAAATTTAAAAGAATTTTAATCTAAATTCATGTGTAAACCCTTTTTTTGAACCCTTAGACTTTCTAATTATCGCATCATTCTGATATAACGCCTCCGTTTCGGAGGTGGGTTCGCTTTTTAGCTTGAATTTTTTGTTTATTTTAATTTGGAATTAAAAAATTTAATTTGAAAAGAATTTTTAATTTTTTTTTTATTTTCTTGACTTTTTTTTTTAGAGAAAAAATATAATGATTACGGGTTAAATGTGATGTTTGTCCTATTAAATTAAAAAACTTATTTTATTTTGTGAATGTTTGAGAAGTGAGTTTTTATGTAGATTTTTTTAGTTGTAAGATATTATTGGATAAAAAAATTTTGGTGTTTGGAAAAATACTTAAGTTTTTATGTGATTGGATGTGATATTTGTAAGAGAAAAAATGAAATAATTATGGAGTTAGATGTGATATTTTGTTTAGATGTATTTTTTTTTGACTTTGTAAAAAATTTGTCTTTTAGTGAAAAAATAAAAAAAAAATATTCGGAACCCAAGTTATTGATTTATTTATTTATTTTTTGGTGACTATTTTAACCCAAAAAAACCCCCTCAAAACCAACTTGCCAAACGGAGGCAAAATTCTATATAAATTTAGATCACTTTGTTGAAAAATTTTACATCGATTTGATCAAATCAAAAGAGAGAGAGAGAGAGAATTTACATTGCAGTAATGGAAGCGATCCATTGAAAGAGAGCAGAGCCAAGACTGAGGCCTAGAGAGATCTTGAGGGCATGACTTGCAAGGTTTTTAGCAGCATGACCAAGATCTTGAAGATCAGAATTGATGAACTCTACAGATGAGGATGTTGAAGAAGCACCAGTCTTCATAGCCAAATAATTGTTCTTCACCATCTTTATGAATCACACTGCTCTCTCTATATAAAAAATCTCAAAGAAGAAACAACCCTTTATCTATAGAGAGAAAAGCTTCTTCTAGACAGCTGTATGGTAGCACAAAACAAGTCAGACAGCTTCGTAAATAAACATTTATAAAGATTTAATGATAAGATCTAAAATATTATTCGAGTTAGCATACGTAAAAATAAAAAAATAAAAAATTAATATGATTAAAAAAAGTTAAAAATTAATTTTTATGTAACTTGTCAGAATAAACCTAAGTTCAATCTTGTTGTTAAGTTCAGAATTATGTAATTAATTGAGTTGTACTCAAACTGATCTATTCAGATACTTAATTATAAAAAAATAATAATAATAAAATTAAAAAAACATTATTAAAAGAAGAGGGTGAGTTTTTTTTTGATTTGTTTGTTTGTTTGTTTGTTTGTTTTATCCACTTATATTGATAGTGGGTGTTTTGAAAAGCTGGTAAAAAGTTAATTTTTGACTTTTTATCAAGTTTTTTGACTTTTTTGGAGATAATTTGAGAAATTGATAAAAAATTGACTTTTTTACTTTTTGATTTAATATTTTTTTAAAGTGTCGCATCACTATAAAATAACCAAAATACCCTTAAGCAATTGAAGAAATTTACATAAGATGAGGGTAGTTTGGTAAATGGCCGAGTTGCATTTTTAGATCTTCCCAAATGGTGTCTTCAGCGTTTTTTGACACTCCAGCATTTTTTGCCTAGGCTGAAAACGCAATGTTTTATGAGAGTTCCCAAAACAGCACAGTACAGAACACCGTGTTTACTTAGCATTTCTTAGGATTCGGACACTTGAATACTTATTCGGACCCTCTTGCGTGAGGGCAAATATGTAATAATGGTATATATCTTCCAATCTCTATTTCATTCTCCTTTTTATTTACCCGCTTATAATAGTAGTATAGAACGTCTTATTTACTTAGTATTTCTCATGTTCGCATCTACTCGTCTCACATACATTAGGGTTTGGACACTCAGACATTTATTTGAACCTTCTTGTATGATGGCAAATATGTAATAATTGTATATGTCTTTCAATTTCCATTTGTTAATAAGGGGCAAATTGGGAACTTGTTAAAAAAGTTATCTTTTTGGCATTTTAGTGTTTTTACACAAAAAAAGCCTGTTGTGGTGTCTTGAGAAATTGGTAAAAAATTATTTTTTTTATTTTTGTGATTTTTTGTAAAAAAGTTAAAAAACCAAAAAGCTTGTTTTTTTAGCCAATTCCCAAATTAGCACTAAGTAAGTAATTGAAAATGAGATGGAAGCCTATTTTGATAAGTGAATTAAAAACCACTTCTTAATTTTTAACCCACTTCTTCCTTCAAAAGTATAAAATTAAAAAAAATTAATTTTTAACAATTATCTCAAAAGATCCCGGAGGAATCTAAGAACAGGTTGTCATGTATGACCACGTGGAGGGTGTTTTGTGGATTGAGATTGGATTTTGGATTGGAATAAATTAGTAGGCATTCGTGTCATTATTCGCGCTTGTCGGTAACCACATAAATGTCCACTTTTTTTTTATTCGAATAATTAGAACTCATACTCACAGCCAATTATTCACATCAATGGTACCGACGTCGTCATATCATAAATCCATTTTTGCCCCTGATTTGTATTCGTATATTAATGGTTGAGTTGATTTTATGAGAGGAAAATATTATAGAGAAGTGCTGCAGACCCAGTGGGATCGCGTGACGTGGTGCGTTTTCATTAGCTGAAAATAAAATAAAATAAAATAAAAAATAATTTTTTTTAGTCAATCATGGAGCTACATCTGACTGGGAGTCGACCCCTAGTGGGGTCTGAAGCATTTTGCAATATTATATATCCTAAATAAATTAATTTTTTTATCAAATCTTTTATATAGGTTTAGGATTCACACATGTGACAATCATATGCATAGATTTTACATTCATATAAAAAATTTGATAATTTATTTAAAATTTTTAACATAACTCTTTATGATATTACAATGAGAAAAAATGCTAGAGTACACTTTTTAGGATTGCATACTTATCTTATCATAAAATTATATATTTTTTTAATATAAAATGTATTGTCTCGTCACAAATTAATGTAATAAATATTTTTTTTAACTAAATCATAAATTTTTGCAATATTAACCATAAAATTTTAGATATATTGATACATCAATTTATAATGAGATTATATATTTTGTACTTAATGTTACAATTTTTTCTAATAAATAAGGCATTTCAACTTAATTGAAATTTTCTCAAAATTTTTTCATGACACTAACGGTAAGAAAATCTTATTGTGTGCACTCCTTTTAAAAAACAATTACAGATAAATAGTAAATTTTATAAATATTAATTATTAAAATCATAACTTTTATCATGAAGTTATAATAATTTTTTTTAAAAGTATTATTTTTGGAATATTATGTGTTTGTATTCATAACCAATTATAATTTATTATACCATCCAACACAATACCTCACATACTTTCTCCACCAATCATAATATTATATCATATAACGTATCTATACTTCAAAATAACTGAATAATAACCCCGCCCACACCATATGATGTTTATTTTAGTACAAAATAAATAAATAATTTATGAAGACCCGATTTCATCTAATGCATAGTAATTAATGAGACAGGGTGACTCCTATGTTTAGAGAAAATCTCAAATTATTTTTTATTTTTTGTGTCCATTTCCGTAGGGTACAAGTTTATCTTGTATTTGGTGCTAGTCATTGTTTTTTAAAACAATTTATTTGGTGCAACTCTTTCCATAACATCATGCTTGCACTAAAAAAATTCTTAGATGTAGTACATTCTTTTCTAGACTGTTTCACTAAGAAACAATTACTGGTTTTTTAAACCAACACTACCATAACTATATATATTAATACACTATGATGAATACTTTATGTAGCCTTATTTTTAAATAAAAAAAATACTATTAAAAATCTTAAATATTTTATCAGACATGATTATAAGTCTCACATATATCGTGAATGTTGTGTCAAAATTTTAATAATATTTTTAAGGCATGGCTTCTGTCTAGTTCTTAATCGGACTGAATCATGTTGTTGGGTCCGTGGAGGCCCATCACAGGTCCCGTTTTGATAATCTGAACCGTTGAATGTGTAAAACTCGTCGAGTACTATATAATTACAAAAAATCACGTTAATTGGATATCGATAGCTATGTGATCAAATCAGTTTTGTATAAAAAAAATGAACAGTGCATAAATTAACGGTTAACAAAAATATGTTTTGATCACATAGCTATCGATATCCGATCAACGTGATTTTTAACAGGCATATAGTACCCGACGAGTTCTACACATTGACAGTTCAGATTATCAAAACGAGACCCGTGGTAGGCCTCCATGAAGGACTGGACAGAAGTCATTCCCTATTTTTAATATTAACATTACTCTTTTTTAAATTAGACTTGTTTTCAATGTATTGGACAACCAACTCTACTACTAGTTGTGAAGGTATGCGTGAACCTCAATGTGGACTCGAAAGTTGTGTTTGTTTGGGGAAATTGGACTAAGGGAGATTGGGATGAATTGTGGTATTAGCCCATGGTTTTGAATTATGTATGGACTGTTACCCTATAATGGGCTAGACCAAATGAATCAATTAAAGCACAACCAAAACCCAATCCGAGGCCCATTTCTTTCAACATAAAACAAACCCAAATGCACTCCCATTAGTGATGGCCTTGGGTCTTGGGTTGAAAGTCCCAAGACATGTTTTATTGCTTCATTCATTCAATCAATGCACACCCAAAAAAAGAAAAAGAAAAAGAAAAAAGTCCATTCAATATGAATCGGGTCGGACTGATGCTAGTGATTATTATTTTTAAAAAATAATGAATTTTATCTAAAATTATGTGAGTGATATGTTTTGTAAAATTTTGAGCTTAGTGATGGATATTTTTTTTAAAATAATTTTTCAATAATTCTATTAACAAAGAATATAAAATACATAATTGTTCACAGAAAGGATACTACTATGTTTTTTATATTTGAATTTATTATTATTTTTTATATACCTTGAGAGGGTAATTTATACCTAAATGGGCCGAGCTGGGTAAATGGGCCGTTCTTTGGGCCACAGTAAGAAGGGCTGGATGAAAGAGGGCTTATAGTTAGCTCGGTCCTAGTAAGCCTTATTGTTATCCCGGTCCGAAAGAATCTTGAAGTTAGTCCGGTCTAAGAGAAGCTTTGAATATAGCTCGGTTGCCGTACTTAAAGTTAGCCCAGTCATGGCTTATCGTGGTTATCTCGGCCAGAGCCTTGCTGTTTGTTAGCTCGGTCTGATCACACCATGGTTAGCACTGGGAGAAACCGGGATAAGAGCAATGAATGGAAGAGCCGAACTAAAGTTAGCTCGGTCTAGTCTGCAGCTTAGCATAGCCATGCTTACCTCGGTCATATTGGAGTCCGACCATGGTAAAACCATCTCACTTGGTTTAAGCAGTGAGGAGGGTGTTGAAGGATAAGCATTATCTTTCAGGAGTATGACTCCTAGGATGACTCTATAAGGAGGAGTAAGAGTCCTACTAGGATTATGCCACGTAAAACCTATAAAAACTCACAGCATCAATTGTTATCCCGGTCCGAAAGAATCTTGAAGTTAGTCCGGTCTAAGAGAAGCTTTGAATATAGCTCGGTTGCCGTACTTAAAGTTAGCCCGGTCATGGCTTATCGTGGTTATCTCGGCCAGAGCCTTGCTGTTTGTTAGCTCGGTCTGATCACACCATGGTTAACACTGGGAGAAACCGGGATAAGAGCAATGAATGGAAGAGCCGAACTAAAGTTAGCTCGTCTAGTCTGCAGCTTAGCATAGCCATGCTTACCTCGGTCATATTGGAGTCCGACCATGGTAAAACCATCTCACTTGGTTTAAGCAGTGAGGAGGGTGTTGAAGGATAAGCATTATCTTTCAGGAGTATGACTCCTAGGATGACTCTATAAGGAGGAGTAAGAGTCCTACTAGGATTATGCCACGTAAAACCTATAAAAACTCACAGCATCACCTATGGAGAGGTAACACAACTTTGATTCCCAAACACGCAGAGCTTTTTGTCTATTTGTCTAT